TTTTTTTTCTTGGTCTTAAAAAGACACAAAACCTGCAGAAACCCTGACTACCTCCAATTTTTCAAAGTAGTGCACTGTTAAAAATAAATGTTCTTAATTTGCATCTATGGTTCCATGAAGAAACTTTGACATCCATGGAACCTTTCCATTGCATAAAAGAAAAGTGGAAAAATGTTCTTCAGCTTACTAAATGTAAGCCTTTTTTAGGAATTGTTCATTGAAAGGTTCTTTAGGGAACCAAATGGTTCTTCTGTGGCATCGCTCTTTTGCAGTCTTTATTTTTAAGAGTGGATGCATTATGCGACAATACCTGAATAAATGCAGTTTGCTCTTTCATATACTAAATAGCTAAACAGCCCAAACTCGCATCATGGTTGAGGCAGATGATTTGAAGCGTCTCAGAGCCGCAGTGTTAACACTCTTCAAGGAGGTCAACCTTCAAATGGCTAGCTATTAGCTGTCACACATTAACCTGGATACGAGAAAGCATTTAAACATCGATACAATTACACACCTTTAAGTCTATAGGGACATGTATCCTTTCAATAGAGCATTACCTTTCTCATGCCTAATTAATAATGCATTCCTTTCTCAGAGTTTTTCTTAGGAGTAATTTGTGTGTAACTCAATATCAGTAAATACTGTTAGTGAAGTATCATCTCTCGTTCTCTTGTTACAAACAACTCCATTGACCTGCCTTTGACATGTGCACAAACGAACATTTCTGAAAACTTGGAATGTGGCTGTTCTATATTTGCTTCTGGTCTTTCTCTCTCAGCATGGTATCTGGCCGGGTGAGGCGGTGTTGATGATGCTGGATGACGTGGAGCTGCAGTGGAAGCGGGGTCACCTGTCGCACCTGCAGTCTGCTGTGGAGCTGCTCATAGGGGTCGTGCTTGGGGAACATCTGGACAAGGTGTGATGCCTCTGAAAACACATACAACATTCAAAGACTTTCCATAAATTAAAAATGAGCACATTTCATTTTTCATTTATCTAATAACCAGCAGCACTGACATTAAGCACAATTGTGTTTTGTAGGAGCTCATTCCAAGACTGTGGCTGGTACAAAAACAAAAGACCCAGAAGATCGGTGAGAAGGCAATGACATTAATGTCCCAGAATTGCTTTTGAAGGATAGTTACCTACAGATGCTGTAAGTGATATCTGCTCCACTAGTGGCACCAAGTGGAATTTCAAAAACAAAGCTTCTAAATCAGATAGTCTGGTATTTTCTGGAATACAATACTGTGCATTCCAAAAATCACAAGCAGCAGTTTTATTAGTTTAGATGTGAAAACAGGCTTTCTGATAATCTTTCTTTCTCTCTGATCTTCTTTAGATTGCACTGGCTACATTCCACACATAGGTGAGAGATTAATAGGCTCATCAATCAAATAATTAATTATTCAATGCCATTTAAATGCATTGACATTCAGCAGCTATAGACATCAAGGCTGTCAATGCAATAGATTCTGTTATTTCTAATATTTATTTAGTAACACAGAAATGTTGCTTTTCGTTTCAGTGTGGAACTGGATATGTGATGCTGCAGGTATGTGTCAATATATATATATAATATATATATACATATATATATATATATAATGTACATAAATTTGTATTTGGTACAAATGTATACAGTGGATAGAAAAAAACCGGCACACTGCCAATTTAAATACTGCCTAATTTTGATGTTATCATGTATTATATATGTGTGTGTATATATATATATATATATATATATATA